CCCCCCCCCCACTGAAGCATTGTGAACACCAAAGAAACAACAGACTGTCTTGAAAGCTACTAAGCTATTATATATTTGCTTTCTGTGCGATGATGAAACCTCAACGTTTTCTATTTTCCTCATTTCATGTTGGGGGCCCCGGGTCCTTCAAATAAACATATTATTCGTAATATGTGTAAAGTAATAAACTTATTATGCATATAGGGCCCATGTAGTGGTAAAGTTGCAACATTTATGAGGATTGAAACTCATAAACAACAAAAGCAGCACAAGTAAGCATCAGTAGACAACAAATACAAATCTAATAAACGAAAGCCAGTAGCAATAGACTGAGAGCAAAACGAACAAAGCATAAAAACAACAGCAGCAAAAGAAATGAATAAAATAAATAAAAAAAAAATAAAAAATAAGAGGATCAACAGAAGCCGCCAGTTCGCTTGATGAATATGCTGCTGGGTGATCTGCTGCAAGTTGAACTGCAACTGCCCTTTAGGGGACAATATAAATTTAAATACAACATTATACAGATGTAGACTGTTTTATAAACGCAAATAAACAAATACATATAAATATAAATATTAAATATATACACCACTAAACAGATACCCCCAATCTGAATACATTTATATATGTAAGAGCATCAACGGATGGAGCCTTAGAGCCACACAACACACAACACGAAATATATATACGGAGTTGAATATATACAACATTAAATATATTAAACTTTAAACAGATATAATAATAGACAGATGCAGCATTAAACAAACATGTACAGTACTAACAAACCTATACAACAGTATAAACCCTTCAGGAGAGGTTTCGTTGGGTTACACAATTGATTTTTTTATGTAATCATTGTAATTATATTTCTATTATTTTGAAATAATAAACAAAACGAAGATATTCATCCTTCGTTTTCTCTGGTTTCTGCCGCTTGGTGGCCCCAACGTGAATTGCTGCTTTCCGCCTGCTTAAGAGGGAAAGCGTTTCATAGCGTTTAATTTCGTTCTTCGATAAAAATTAATTTATTTCAAGTTATACTTATTCATAAATATAAATTATAAAAACTAAAACAAAAACAAAAATACATAACGCCAGCTGGTGTCCCTCTTTCGGCGCCGCCGACGGACCCCGGGTGCTCAAACCCATCACACTATACCCAGCATACCACTCGATATTTTATGGAAAACTAAACTCTGTTAATAATATATGATTATTTAAAATAATATAAATAATAAAATAAAATAAATAAAGCCACAAAAAAATTAATTTCATCGAGGTCACCTACGAGCAACCGGTGTGCAGAAGACGGTCACTCCGGCGCCCGTTTCACGAAATGTCTGTCAAATATTGTCGTTTTTTTTTCTATTTAAAGCAATAATTTTTAATTTATTTGTTTTTATTGAGTTTTATATTTCTTTTCCGTTTAAATTTACTAAAGAAATGAACAGATTTATCTGCGTTCTACATAAGAGGCTCTTGCAGAGCGTCTGCGCGAGCCAGGCCGCTGGGCTGATCGAGGGCCGGCGGTGATTTCTTTTTCATGCGTTTTATTTCGGTAAACTTTGAGTAAAAAACAAATTATTTGTTTTTTATTCTATTTTTTATTTAATATTTCCAATTATTTTATCTGCTTGAACGCCGATGCCCCGACGGCAGTTACCGCATCACCGCAAAGGCAAAGTTGTACAGAACGCACACGGCGGCCTTTGGTTTTTTCGTTTTCTTCTTTTCTTCTGAAATAAAAAAAATATAAACTTCGAAACATTTATTAAATACAAATGCATTCAACAGAAGCCAACGAAACCGCGACGAGGTCTGTCTCCTAGGCATCCCGGCGGCGTCGCTCAAACCAATAGGCCTACCAAACCTAAACCCTAAACCCTAAACCCTAAACCCTAAACCCTAAACACGAGCCTGGCCTGTCACAAGGCGCCGCCACAGAACAGACTGTTTCTCTCGGATGACAAACGGAAAGACAGCCCGCACCGGGCACGGTGTTTACGGCGTAGGGCCTAGGGTTTAGGGTTTAGGGTTTAGGGTTTGAGAGAAGCACCTCGTTGTGTTGAATGTATTTCTTCCTACGGACCTGGACAGCTAACAGGCACGAACCTCCCGGCATCCCTGCGGGCAGCAGCAACAGCAGCAGCAGCCCCACTAAGAGCAGCAACAGCAGCAGCAACCGCAGTGAAAGCGGCAAGAGCAGCAGCAGCAGCAAAAGCAGCAGCAGTAGCAACAGCAGCAGCATCCAACGTTATGTGTCTGGCCCGTGCTGTCCTCAGCAGCAGCACGAGGGTTTTCTCTGTCTCGCTTCGCTTCCTTTGCTTCGTCTCTTCTTTCTTTTTTCTCCGCTGCTGGTTGTTTTGTTTGTTTCTCTGTATTAGACAGTACCCAAAATAAAGGGAGGGGGGGCCCCCAAGGGGCCCCCTTCTGAGCTTGCTGCAGANTGCTGCAGAAGCAGAAAATGCACATAGAAGCAGCAAACAGTCCGGCCAGACTGAACAACAGCAGGGAGAAGCAGCGCCTGTTGCAGCAGCTCTTGCTGCGGCAGCTCCTGCTGCAGCAGCTCTTGCTGCGGCAGCTCCTGCTGCAGCAGCTCCTGCTGCTGCAAATCCTGCTGCTGTAGCTCCTGTTGCAGCAGCTCCTGTTGCACCAGCTCCTGTTGCAGCGGCTCCTTTTGCAGCAGCACCTGCTGCTGCAAATCCTGCTGCTGCAGCTCCCCTTGCAGCCGCTTCTGTTGCAGCAACTCCTGTTGCAGCAGCTCCGGTTGCTGCAAATCCTGTTGCAGCAGCTCCTGCTGCTGCAACTCCTGTTGCAGCAGCTCCTGTTGCAGCAGCTCCTCTTGCAGCAGCCCCGGCTGCTGCAAATCCTGCTGCTGCAGCTCCTGTTGCAGCAGCTCCCGTTGCAGCAGCTCCCTTTGCAGCAGCTGCTTTTACAGCAGCTCCTGTTGCAGCAGCTCCTGTTGCAAAAGCTCCTGCTGCAGAAGCTCCTGTTGCAGCAGCTCCTGCTGCAGCAGCTCGTGTTGCAGCAGCTCCTGCTGCTGCAGCTTATGCTGCTCCAACTCCTGCTGCTGCAGCACGTGTTGCAGCAGCTGCGGTTGCAGCAGCTCCTGTTGCATCAGCTCCTGCTGCTGCAAATTCTGCTGCTGCAGCACCGGTTGCAGCAGCTCCTGTTGCAGCAGCTCCTGCTGCAGCAGCTCCTGCTGCTGCAACTTATGCTACTCCAACCCCTGTTGCTGCAGCTCCCGTTGCAGCAGCTCCTGCTCCTGCAGCACGTGTTGCAGCAGCTCCTGTTGCAGCAGCTCCCCTTGCAGCAGCTCCTGCTGCTGCAAATCCTGCTGCTGCAGCTCCTGTTGCAGCAGCTCCCGTTGCAAAAGCTCCCATTGCTGCAGCTCCTTCTGCAGCAGCTCCAGTTGCAGCAGCTCCGGTTGCAGCAGCTCCTGTTGCAGCAGCTCCTGTTGCAAAAGCTGCTGTTGCAGCAGCTCCTGCTGCTGCACCTCCTACTGCAGCAGCTCCTGCTGCTGCAGCTTATGCTGCTGCAACTCCTGCTGCTGCAGCTCCTGCTGCAGCAGCTCCCGTTGCAAAAGCTCCTATTGCAGCAGCTCCTGTTGCAGCAGCTCCGGTTGCAGCAGCTCCTGCTGCTGCAAATCCTGCTGCTGCAGCTCCGGTTGCAGCAGCTCCTGTTGCAGCAGCTCCTGTTGCAGCAGCTCCTGCTGCAGCAGCTCCTGCTGCAGCAGCTCCTGCTGCTGCAACTTATGCTGCTCCAACGCCTGTTGCTGCAGCTCCTGTTGCAGCAGCTCCTGCTGCTGCTTATGCTGCTCCAACCCCTGTTGCTGCAGCTCCCGTTGCAGCAGCTCCTGTTGCAGCAGCTCCTGTTGCATCAGCTCCTGTTGCTGCAGCTCCTGTTGCAAAAGCTCCTGTTGCTGCAGCTCCGGTTGCGGCAGCTCCTCTTGCAGCAGCTCCTGTTGCAGCAGCTCCTGTTGCAGTAGCCCCTGCTGCTGCATTTTATGCTGCTCCGACTCCTGCTGCAGCAGCTCCTGTTGCAGCAGCCAATGTTGCAGCAGCTCCTGTTGCAGCAGCTCCCGTTGCAGCAGCTCCTGCTGCTGCAGCTCCTGCTGCTGCAGCGCCCGCTGCTGCAGCTCCCGTTGCAGCAGCGCCTGTTGCTGCAGCCCCTGCTACTGCGATTCTGGCTTCTGCAGCTCCTGCTGCTGCAACGTGGGCTGCAAATCGTGCTGATGCTGCTGCTGCTGCTGCTGCTGCTGCTGAACAAACAGTCAGAGCAGGCGACAGAGTGGCAGAGGCAGCAGGGATTGCTGCAGCAGAAGCAGCTGCAGCAGCAGGTGCTGCTGGTTTTGCTGCTACAGCAGAAGCGATGAGCCTTGAGACTAAACAGCGGGCGATGAGTGCAACTTTTGCTGCTGCCGATCCTGTTGCAGTTGCTGCTGCTGCTGCTGCTGCTGCTGCTGCTGCAGCCACTGAAGATCCAACATCTGGCGCTAAAGTGTATGGTCACGCAGTTCCTTCTTCCTCAACTGCTGCTGCTGCTGCTGCTGCTGCTACTGCTGCTGCTGCATCACTTCAGCACCAAGCAGCAGCTCCTATAGACTTCCCTGGCAGGGGTGAGTGCACAATGTCTGCTGCAGCAGCGCAGCGCGCAGCAGCAGCAGCAACGCAGCAAAGAGCAGCAGGAGCAGCGTCATATGGCACAAATACAACGCAAGCAGCAGCAGCAACGGAGGAAGCAGCAGCAGCACCAGAAGCAGTAGCAGCAAAGGCAGCGGCAGCGCCAGAAGCAGCAGCAGCACCAGAAGCAGCAGCAGCACCAGGAGCAGCAGCAGCATCAGAAGCAGCAGCAGCACCAGAAGCAGCAGCAGCACCACCTGCTGCAGCAGAGCATTTGTCTGCTGTCGCTGGCCAGCAGCAAGCATCATCACCATCAGCTGTGCCGCAACAGCAGGATCCTCCCAGCAGCAGCAGCACCAACGGCGGCAGCAGCAGCAGCAGCAGCAGCAGCAGCAGCAACGGCACCAGCCTGACTAACGAAGATATTGAAGCGGTGCTTGCTGTTGTGGATTTGGCTTTGGAGCTGCAGCAGCCTCCCCTGCTGCAGCAGAATCCTGCTGCTGATGCTGCTGCTGCTGCTTCAGCGCAGCAGGTAGCTATGCAAGCAGAGGCTCTTGCTGCTGCAGCAGGAGCAGCAGCAGCAGCAGATCTCCTCGCCCAGAGCCATCGGCACCAGGCCCCAGGGCATGCACCAGGAAGCAGCAGCCACCCCACCATCACTGCAGCAGAAGCAGCAGCATCAACTGCTTCTGCTGCTCTTGCTGCAGCAGAGGCTTTCCCCTATGCGAACACTGCAAGCGCCGTCCTTGTGGAGACGCATGCACGTCAGCAGCAGCAGCAGCAGCAGCAACAGCAACAGCAGCAGCAGCAGCAGCAAGAGTATCGAGATGCAGTTATGCAGAAGCAGCTGCACTGTCTCCGCTTGCTGCTGCTGACGGGCTGTCTAAACCCCCAGTGGAAGAACTACGCAAACCCTCATGTCTTCCAGTGATTCACCTGCTGCTGCTGCTGCTTGCTGCTGCTGCTGCTGCTGCTGCTGCTGCTGCTGCTGCAGTCTCTTTGTTGGTGCTGCTGTTGTTGTTTCCGCTGTAGCAACTGCTGCTGCTGCAGCTGCTGCTGATGTTGCTGTTGTTGTTGCGGTCATATCGTTTTCTTTGAGACCGCTGATAGTATTCCTTTGCCTTTGCTGTTGCTGCTGCTGCTGCTGTTGCTGTTGCTGCTGCTGCTGCTGCTGCTGCTGCCAGGTTTCACTTCGCGTTGCTGCTGTCTGCACCGATTGAGCCTCTCTTTGACGTTTACCTTCGCAACATTTTCTCCCCAATCCTCGACGCCTCGCGGCCCCCCCAAGCAGAAACTGCTGATGCTGCTGCTGTTGCTGCTGCTGGTGATGCTGCTGGTGCTGCTGCTGCTGCTGCGCCCTTGTTGCTGCTGCAGCAGCAACAGATGCAACAGGAACGACAGCAGGAACAGCAGCAGCAGGAACAGCAGCAGCTGCAGCAGCAGCAGCAGCAGCAGCAACTGCCTCACAACCCTGCGATGGAACAAGGGGACCAAGGGATCGCTGTTTCTCCCTTCAGCAGCAGCAGCAGCAGCAGCAGAAGAAGCAGCAGCAGCAGCTGCACAGAGGAGAGCAGCGGCCTGTCGGCAGAAGTCGGGGGCCTTGAAGAAGAGATATTAATGCTGGTGCTGAGGGACAACCGCCGCAGCAGCAGCCTGACAGTAAGCTGCATGCTGCTGCTGCTGCTGCTGCTGCTGCTATTGCTGTTGTTGCTGTTGCTGCTGCTTTGCAGCAATGCTCCGTCCTTCTCCCCAGGTCGTGCTGCAGCAAGGATGCTGAACGTGTTGCTGTTGCTGCTGCTGCTCCTGCTGCTGCTGCTTGTGCGCTGCTTTTTGTGGCAGTTGCAGCAGTGGATATTCGTCTCTCCTGCCACTATTGCTGTTGCTGCTGCTGCTGCTGTTGCTGCTGTTGCTGCTGCTGCTGCTGCTGCTGTTGCACGGTGTGCAGGCTGCTGCTGCTGCAGTGAGCACCGCCCTAGACTGGGTATACGACGCATGCAAGGCCTTGGAGGACCGGGGGAGGCCCCCAGGAGCAGCAGAGGGGAGCCACAGTGCAGCAGTTGTGCCAGCAGCAACACTCGGCAGCAGCAGCAGCAGCAGCAGCGGGAACTGCGGAAGCTGCGGCGCTCCCGCAGGCTTTTCCCTGTTCGCCACACCTCTTGCTGCTGCTGCTGCTGCTGCTGGTATTACTAATGCTGTTTATGGTGCTGCTCCTGCTGCTGCAGCTCCCGCTGTTGCTGCTGCTGCTGCTGCTGCTGCTGAGTACGAGAGGGCCTCTGCTGCTGCTGGCCTTTTGGGGGGGGTGGCAACGGGGGGGTGGGGAGGAATAACAGGTATGCAGCTGCAGCAGCCGAATATGCTGCCGGAGCAGCAACCCGTGCTGCAGCTGCAGCAGGCGATACATCTGAAGCAGCAGATGGAGCTGCAGCAGGAGCTGCAGCTGCAGCAGGAGATGCAGCTGCAGCAGGAGATACAGCTGCAGCAGGAGATGGAGCTGCAGCAGCAGCAAATGAATAGGCTGCAGCAGCTCTCATGCCCCCTGCATCAGCTGCAGCAGATGGACAGCAAGGAGCTGCTGCTGGAGGACCCCGTCAGCAGCCTCAGCAAGGAGTTCGACGCGTGTGTTAGCAGCAGCAGCAGCAACAGCAGCAGCAGCAGCAGCAGCAGCAGCAGTAGCAGCAGCAGCAGCAGCAGCAGCAGCAGCA